ATATGCATATCCATACTCTAAACAAATTTGTGCAGTAGGCAAAATTTATCTTTGACCATGGTCTTTCCCCACCTGCCATGGGATCTTTCCTTGTTCACAGACACAGAACCTGTTCTTTTCTCTACTGCCCTAATAGGCCATCAAAACCTGGTCTTAAGGAAAAACTGACCCCTACAATGGAATTACATCACTCATACATTTAACTTATGCCAATGTAACTATTCTTGTTCATCAAAAGAATTTTCAATGTGAGGCAGAATGTATTTTTAATATAAATATCATAGGCAATTCTGCCTAACATTATACTCAATGAGCATATGCCCCTGAGTGAGTGTAAAATAAGAAACAGAAATCTGCTATGTTCTCCATTGGTCTGAGTTCCTGATCACTTCTCATAGAGTGAGCGTCTCACCATTCTGAGGGTATTTCAAGTGTTAAAAGACTTTTTTTTTTTTTTTTTACACAAGCCTTTTTTATACAAGCCTCCTAAACACAAGCCAATGACTCCAACTGGTGTTGAACCAAATAAACAGTCATCAGCTCTAATACTGAGGGACAAAATGTCTGCTTTGGACTTATTAAGAAGTGGACTATCTGTCTTCATTCTGGTACCTTCAAAGGAGATTTTCAAGGATAATTTTATCTACATGGTTTTCACCTTACATGCCTATGTAAGGTTTGAATCCATTATGTAGTTTGAGTTTTTTCTTTTATATGAGTTTTATATTTGCATTTTAACAGAAAATAATGGAATTAATCTGCTTATAGAATTATAGGCATTATTAAACCTCAACTAAATATGTAAAAGAAAGACAACTAGGTATCATTTTACTATTTCCATCTCTGAGGGAAAATTTGGGTGACACATTTTTATGTGGTTTTTTTTTTTGGTAATAGCACTTCTAAAATTACACCAAGTAAGCAGCCATTTATTCTATCAAATCCTAAGACCAGCCCTGATTTTACACACAGATTTCCAAGTTTCTCAACACTATAATATGATAAATACATCAACATTAAAACTGTGTATTTCACCTCTGCTTCTCAATTTTTTCATTTATAGAAAGTATTTGTATTTAGACACTCTCCAAATTGCAATTCTAGCTTCACTCAGTTTATTTTATAATATTTTAGCTCTGAAATCTATGATTATTATATCAGATGTGGACTAGATGCTGGATACATAATTGCATTGTTTAATCAGAGGGGATTTTAATATCTTGCAGTACTTCAAAGTCATCCCCATGAATTAAGGTTGCCATAACTACTGCTATGCAAAGATACCAATTAGTAGAGATTTATAGTTTCTAGAGCCTAATGATGTTTACTGTGTGAAATAAAAACATACTTTTTTCTGTTCCCTAAATCCAATTTGATAGAATAAGAGGGAAAAAAACTAGATTTTTAGGACTTTGCTGGCCAACATTTGAGCTAAGATTTTAATTGGAAGAATGCATTTTTATAGAAAAGAGTAGTGCAATATTGTTGCATCACAGAGTCTTAAATAGCATGGTTTATAAATGAGGTAACTTGTTTTTCTGGACTTATGGTCCATGGGGGAGGAAAAGACTGTCTTTACTACTTAGAATGTTTTCTTGCTTTTTTATGCTGTATCAGGAATATAACAAGTGTTATGTTTTGGCTGCATGTTATGGACAGGGACCCTGTAGAAAAAGACAAGGGACCCTGAGTTTCCTGACTCAGGTGCTAAACAAAAGCCAAAGAAAGTTTTTAAGCATCCTATAAGCCTTTTTGCTAGTACTGGTGGGACAGTGTTCCTGTTTTTCTCTGTTTCAGATTTATAATTGTTTATTTTACCATAATTATTTCATATTAATTTTTATATACTACAAAAATTTTTATTAGGTTAGAGCAGTTTTATTAGGCTAGAAAGTAAACATATGATACTTTCCTAATGGAGAAATACTGAGAATAATACTGCTCAACTGGAAACAAGAAAGCTAAAATTGTGGTAGCACTTCCTCCAGGTATTTAGCTCAAGCTTAAGCAGAGTTGTCTGAAAAGTTAACAGGAAAAGAAACTACTTGTGAAGTGTTAAAACCACAATCTAAGAAAAAAATTTTTTCATAATGTCATATTATAGAGTATTAAGACCTAAATGTCACAGACTTGTTTAGTAGTATTTAATAAATACATTTTCCCTCACCTAAGATAAAAGCAACAACAACAGGCACCAAAATCCCAACATCAGTAGCTGAATTGTTTGGGTGTTTTGTTTTTTCATTCTTCTGGAGCCATGTGGCCAGCAATAGCACCATCTTTATATTTTAGGCAAAGAATGATTTTCAGGTTTTCTATGTCTCACAGTGGGACGACAATCCAAAGTTAAAATTCATATTAATTATTTGAAACTTAGAACTTATTTTCTCACTCTGGCAAATCCTAAAAACAACCCATAAAAGCCAATTTTAAGTGCTCTATTGCCAAACAATAAAGTTAGTAGCAAAAATGATGGTTATATTCTATTATAGCAGTGTTTGTGTGAGAAAATTAAACCTAAATTTTGATTGGGGATTTCAACAACACTGCCCCCCCCCCATTCTACTGAATCACCTCTTTCCTCAGGCGACACTGGTAGAAGAAGGTTCCAGTAAGAGGTGAGAAGGGGTAGAAGTTCTAAATAGGCGCTGGGATTGGGAAGGAATAGTGGGGAGCTTTCTGAGGGTTTGTGAAGGTCTTTGCTTCTAGCAATGCAAACAGCAGATATAATAATAAGGAGGGCGGTTGCTATTCTCTAAAGGTTCCAGAAGTTTAACAATAAGCTTGTCCCTATTAATCACTAACACATGAAAAAGGTTTTAAGGATATATGAAGCCCAGTAAAATTTATTGAATGTGTGTTCTTTTCCCTTCTCCCTCCTTCTTCCTTTGCTATACGGTTACATCTTGCCTTTGTCCCTGAGAGTCCTCCTCCACACCTCCTTATTTCCTGCTCCCTCTCCATATATCTGTTTTCTCCCAATCTTTTACATTCACTTACTTTCACTTTGATCCTTTAGTAAAATTTGGGACTATAGAGGTGTAGTACACAAATAATAGAACACAGTTCAATCTGCATTTTAAAATATTGCCTGACTTAGCTCTCTGAAGTCAGGGTCTGTTTTATTCATCAACTAACAGAATACAGTAGGCCCTCAAAATATGTTGAGTGGGTAATGAACAAATAAATGCTGTTTTTGAGGACAGTTCTTTTATGGAGTTGAAATTCTAGGATGAAGAGCAAAATAGACTCTAGAGTGGGTGGGGGTAGACTAAAGAATAGGTTAGGAATATAACTGTGGTAGTGGTGGAGCAGCTGAATGAACTCACCCCCCTCTCCCTCCCTCCCTTAACACCATTGAAATGAATCAAAGGTAATGTCTACAGGTGTCCAGGAGTTTACAGTAGGAATAAGAAGAAAGGGGACATAAAAAGACCAGGCATGTATAAGTTGAGAACAAACTTATTAAGAAAACAAGTGAGCTTAAATTTTGGCTTTCATTTTGTCTGTATTTTTTAGGATTGGATTACATTAGGCTGCCAGTTCAGAAAATCCAATATAAGAATTCTTTTTTTTTCAATATAAGAATTCTTAAAAATAATAATAATAATTCTTATACAGGACAGTTTCTTTCTTTCTCATGTAAATGAAGGCAGTCCAGGACTGCTTCAGAAGCTCCATGTAATCATCAGGTGCCCAAATCCTTCCGTGTTTTTCCAGCAGCCTCAAGATGTGGCTTCATCTCTAAGATAGATATCCAAGATGGCCACTGTAGCTCCAGAATCACATCCACATTCCAGATAGAGGAAGAATTTACTAGGAGAATAAGCATATGCTTCCTCACTTTAGTGACATTTATTATGCACACTCCATTACCCTTTATAATCACATTGGCCAAAGCTTACCAACTTGGTCACACCTAGATGCAAGGAAAGCTGGATAATTTATCTTTTTTCTGAGTGGCAATATACCCAACTAAAGATTTGGGGTTTTATTAACCATAGAAGAAGCAGAGAATCAGCACTAGGGACAACTAGCCATCTCTACCATATTGACCAATGGATTTTCTTGGAAAAATATCAATAATAAAAGGTAGACAAAGAGTTGTTATAGAAAACACTCAATATTGTATTGTTTTTAAAATATAGATTCTCCTTTAATGTGTAAAATAGTTGAGGCTAGGTTGTGCTTGATATTAAATTATTTGCAGATACTTAGTAAACATTGTAATTAGAAGAAACAGCATTCCAAATACTAAATTTTAAAAAGTACATTGATACCTAATAATTTTAATCTTAAATGCACATTGTTCAAGCCCCACACACCAAAAGGATGAGTAAAATTTGAGTATTTCACAAACGCTGTGCTAAAGAGTTATTTAATTTATATTTTAAATAAGACAGAACTGCTGGTTCGATGTATTGTAGCTCTTACTGTGTAGCTCTCAGAGCTAATAGTTACTGACCACTTATTATTCCAGTCACTGTGTGATTTCATGTAATCCTCTGGCCTTCTAAGGTCACTATATTATTATTCACATTATACAGGTGAGGACATCAAGGCTAAAAGAGATTTAATTTTTCCTTGGAACCCAGTGTTGTTGGACTCTAATGCCAATGCTTCTAGTCATTATACTTTACTGCTGCTTCTTTATAAATGTTTAATAGTATAATCTATCTGATTGTTACCTTGTATCGACATAGAAAAGGATCTTCTCATTTTAAGTACTGATTCTTTTCACTTAATCATACTACTTTAAGCTCTAAAGATAATTGCAGAGGGACATTATGGAATAAAAACAGCTGGAGGCATCTGTCCATAAGTGAACAGTCACAACAAATAAAAGCAACCTCAGTATCTTATCCATAAGCATCTCATCAAAACCATCTTTGACACCACCACCTTTGCCTTATACAGTATTTGTTTAGATACAAAGTGGAAAGAAGCAAAAGGCTTCTTGGGAAATAAATTTTCTTCTAATTCATAATCAATTTGCTGGGGGGGGAGGTCACCTTAGGAGCAACCTTTACCCACTCAAAAATTCATCTCACATTAGCAGTGAGGATTCAGATATCACCTCAACTCATTTTCCTTACTGATAAGTTTAAGGCATTCGTAATCAAATTTTAAGATTCTGCCTTCTTGACTTTACAGAGTATGTCTCCTGCATTCTATTTCTACTCTCATCACTCTGGCATACATCCAGTTACCCCTTAACTAGACCATTACACTGTCTTAAAGTCTACCTCCCCTTAGCTTCTCCCCACAATTCAGACCATCCTAGAAGTTTCTCCTAATCTTCTAAAATCAAAGCTCAGTCATCTCATTTCCCTGCTTGACACATGCCTCTAATCCCAAGTGTCAGGGAAAGCTATGACCAAGTTAAAAGGCCATTTTATTAATTATTACCTACCACTTATACTAGGGGGAAAGAAGGGACCCAACATACTGTTGTTGGTTACCTTACTATCTAAGAACTTACATTATTTGTCAGTCTTTGACTGTATCTAAGAACTTTACTGAGGAGGTTGAAGAAGCTCAGGAAAATAGACTTTAATTGAATGCAAATTTATATAGGAAAATAATGAACATTTCCTTCCTTACTAAGAAAAGCAGAGAGTAGACAAATCTGCTTGTTATTGGGGAAAAGGAGTGTTTACGGGGGAGGGGAAGTGGTAGAAAAAATGGCAACATTTGAAATTCAGGGCTTCCCTGGTGGCACAGTGGTTGAGAGTCCGCCTGCCGATGCAGGGGACACGGGTTCGTGCCCCGGTCCGGGAAGATCCCACGTGCCGCGGAGCGGCTGGGCCCGTGAGCCATGGCCGCTGAGCCTGCGCGTCCGGAGCCTGTGCTCCGCAACGGGAGAGGCCACGACAGCGAGAGGCCCGCGTACTGCAAAAAAAAATAAAAATAAAAAATAAATTCAGTATTCATGGCATTTTAGGCAATAATTCACACTCAAGAAAAATATTTAATAAAGCAAAATCATCCCTGCTACTCATAAGAATTGTTCTGAAAAGTAAAATTGCCATGAATCAAGTGCATTTAGTCTGGAGACCACCTTTTCGGTACAATTACTGTGTTTTAAACCATGGTTTCCATTGTTCCTAATAGTGTCTTTAGTCATCAACAGCTAGGGAAAAAATCTAGGACACGGAGCTCTATAATCTTTAGAAATAGTAGCTCTCTGAAATTCCTTATAGAACTCAGGACCATTTTTGCTACTTTGGTTCCCCATTTACTGCTTACATTATTGCAAATGTTCTATAATAAATAATTTTCTTAAGCAGAGAGGATAGAAAGTATCCTAAAATCATTTTCATACACTAAATCTCTATTTCAGAGTAGTCTTGAAACTGTAAGAATTTTAGACGATTATCAAGTGAACAGTTTAGACTCTAAATGTACATGAGACAGTTAATGTACATTTTTCAAGGTAATCTTCAAACCCAGCTCAAAGATACCTTCTCTCATGTCACCGATAGGCACCAGTGTGTGATTCCAGTACCATTTTTTCATTTCTTCATCTGCAGATTTTTTGGCATGTTTAGGTGGTACTATTATTTTCTGATACAAATAAGCATAGTTTGGGGACTTTTTAAAAGTACCTCTTTGTTCAACACACTGCTTACATGGCCCAGTCTTTGTTTTTTGCCAGATCCTAGGATTGGGGGAATCATTTTTAAGTATTGGATTCTCTTTGTCTCTATGGTATGTGCAGCCCAGTTTTCCATGTGGCATCAACTAATATTGCTTTTTAAGAAGTGCTTTTTTATGACCCAAGGATACCAAAGAAAAACTGTTATTTAACCCTGTCTTCAATATCTACCTGCTCTCGTCTCTGGAAGAAAGATGACTTTATTTTTTGCTGTCTGAAGTTAATGTAGCAGAAAATCATCAGAACAAGACATAGACTAGAAGAAAATATTTGCAACACATATATCAGGCAAAGTCTTGTATTCAGAATAAAGAACACTTTCAACTCAGTAGCAAGAAGACAACCAGCCCAATTAAAAAAAAAATTAACAGAAGATTTGAATTGTCACATGAATGAAGATATATAAATGACCAATAAGCACATTAAAAAATGTTCAATATTGATAGTTATCCAAGATATGCAAATTAAAACCACAATGCATTATTACTACACAAGGGCTTCTCAATTTCAGCCCTTGACATTTTGGACCAAGTATTTCTTTGTTGTGAGGGGCTGCCCTGTATGTTTTAGGATGTTTGGCAGAATCCCTAGCCTCTAGCAGGTACGTGTCAGTGGCAACTGACTTACCTACCAGTTGTGAAAACCAAAAATGTATCCAGACATTGTCAAATTACTCTAACAGGGCAAAATCACCCCCAGTTAAGAACCGCTGCACTACACCCATTAGATTGACTGAAATGAAAAATATTGACTATGCTAAGAGTTGGTGAAGATGTAAAGCCACCGGAACTCTCACACACTGCTGGCAGTAATGTAAAAATGGTTCAACCACTATGGAAAACAGTTTGGCAGTTCCTTAGAAAGTTAAACCTATGCTTGTTATATGAGCTGGCCATTCCACTCTAAGAAAATAAAATGGAAACATATGTTCAATACAAACCTATCTAAGATCCTTAGGGAATGTACTATCCTACTTAGATGAGAATTTTACACATGAATTGAAAATCTTAAGTACAAAGAACCTTTTCTTTGTTGACATGTAGCATTTTTTCCACTTCCTTACTGGGATCATTTTGCTTCTCCCTGAACTGAAGCTACTTCAGTGAGGATATATTGGTGTAGACTCTTACTTTTTCTCTCTTAAAATGTGTTTCTTGCATTCACTTTCTTAAAAGATAGTTTCATATATTAGTACAATTCAAGAAAGGCCATTTTCTCTCAGTGCTTCAAAGATATTATTCCCCCAGATCTTCTGGCTTCCATTGTTAAAAATTAGACTGTCAGTTTAGTTTTTCCTTTGTAGGTAATCTGACTTTTCTCTTGGATAACCTTTAAGATCTTCCCTTTTTCTTGGAATTTTTCAGTTTTACTCTATGTCAAGGTATATATTTCCTTTCAGTTATTCTGTATGGGATTCATTGTGCTTCCTGGAAATGAGGATTGGTGTCTTTAATCAGTTCTGGAAAATTCTCAGCCATCATCTCTTAGAATATTGCCTTTCTCCTTCGAGAACTCCAATTAGATATATATTAGATCTTCTGTTCCATCCTCCATGTTTTTTATTTCTTCTTCCATATTTTCCATCTCTTTGTATTATGTGCTACATTCTGGATTATTTCTTCAGATTTACTTTCTAGTTTATTAATAATTTTCTCCTCATCTATGCTGAATACACTGTTTATCTATTGAATTTTGTTTCAATTATTATAAAGTCTGTATTGGATTCATTTTTAAATCTGGTTATTTTTTGATGGTTTCTTGTTCCTCATCCATACTTTCAATTTCCTTTAAAAATTTAAGAAACATATTAAACTGGTATTCTGCATCTATAATTCTAACACCTGCTAAGTCTTGCAGGTCTTAGGTGATTATTGTTTCTTCAGACCTCACTAATGGTGCTTTTTTTCATGGTATGTTTTATTGTTGTAAGCTCACATTCATCAGAATTTTATCTCCTTCAGAGATAATCTGTATTTCTGACTGGAGCCTGGGGGACATAACCAACCCACTTTAACCGAATCCTTGCCTTGTTTTTTGATTGTTTCTTTTAAGATCAGGTAGATAAAGGGATTTAAGGCCCCAGCTCCTCATATGTGAGCCACTTTGTGCTTATAAATTTTCAGAGGAGGTTTTACCCCTTCTACCAAGAGCAGAAGTTGAAACAGGCAAATTTTTTACCTCCTTTTGTAGATGGGGTGTTTTTCCTAGTTAATGCTTTCAATGATAGTTTAGCCTTTTGGGGTTTGGCACCCCCCAGTTTCCCAAGTCCTAGGGTTTGTCATCTGTTCCCTATGCTGCTGCTCTAGGTTACTGGGGATTCATAGCTACCAGGATCAGTAATCCCTACCTCCTTGGATTCCTCCTATTGGCCATTTTTGACTTATGAGGATTGCTGTTACTTTGCCGGTTTAGCCATACCTTTTAAATTATATTTCTTATAGAAATATTTGTAGGTGTTTTTTACAACATGAGTAAGAATCATTATTATGGAGGTTAGCTATTACCCTAATCTGTCAGAGAGTGGTGCTGTCAGAGCTCCTTAAGGCTTATTACATCAAAGTACACTTTTAGGGGACTTAACCTGGCAGTCCAGTGATTAAGACTACACCTTCCAATGCAGGGGGTGCAGGTTTGATCCCTGGTTTGGGAGCTAAAATCCCACATGCCTCATGGCCAAGAAACCAAAACATAAAACAGAAGCAATATTGTAACAAACCCAATAAAGACTTTAAAAATGGTCCACATAAAAAAAAAATCTTAAAAAAAGCCGTTCACTTTTAGTAAATGGCCTACTACTGTACTATCCAAGTTCTTATTTCTGCTTTTTTAGAATTTTTCTGACTCTTTCCTTGATCAAATGGTTGACTATCATTCTTTCTCTGTCAGTGTAAACAGTAGTAGTCCCTACTTCCTTCTAAATTACTGTGGAATTAGAAACTAAATAAACAAGCTTTTTGTAATTTTATACAAAATAAAAGTAAATTGTGTCTAAGAGAGGTAAACCAAAGGTTTTCCTCTGAGTACAGTACATATTCTTTGGTATATATACTCTGTACCATCTATTTTACTTTTTTTTTTCTTACTTGTTCTAGATTCTTTTTTTGAGATTGTCAAACGAGTCAATTCAGGTATAATGAGATATTACTATATAAATAGTGTATAATAATCACCTATTTTGTCCAAAATTACTGATTTTCAAATGTGAAAGAAAACATTTTAAGGGGTGTGTGTGTAAATAATCATTAGATTTAATCCTACCAAATCACTCTGAATTCTACTTTTTGTGTGTGTGTGTGTGTGTAGGCAATACAGTATTTAACAACTAAGAAAAATTACCATATTTTCTTACGTTTTAAGTCTGTTAAAGTGACTCTAATGATTGTGTGCCAGTTTGTCTTCATTTATGTTTTCATTTTTCTCTTTTACATAAAATGTTATGTTTTCTAGATGTTATG